AAATGGGTGGCTACAAATATAAATGGATTTTAGGGCAGCTTGTGGATTACATTATTTACACCTAAGCAGAAGGTGATTGGTTGATTCGCTTCATATGGATAATTTTCGTCCGGTGTGTATAATTGTTTGAAGACCCGACTCGTAAAATTGAGGTCACATTTGTATACAAAATTAAAAAAAAATCTTAATCTAAATACCTTATTCAAATCAAATCAATTGAATACACAATAAATCACTCATATTTGAGTAAAGGGAGGAGTAAAGGACAAACGAAAAAAATGATATTATTGTATTTTTTTTCTTACTAATTGTATTTTACTACCTCCGCCCTCCTAAGTTTGGGACGAGAGAAAGTGACACGGTTATTAATAAATGTGAGTATATGTGGTTGATATTAAATTGATAAAGTAAGAATAAAGTAAGAATGAGTTAAAACCACACAAACTTTACCAAATAAGGTATGGAACAATCTTAGTGGGACGGACCGAAATGGTAAAACGAGACAATCATAGCAGGACGGAGGGTGTATTAAATAGTGTTAATATATAATATTACTATATAATACTAATAATTTTTTAAAAAATTAGGGGCCCTATTATGCAGAACCTATTGAACCTCTTAAAAGTTGGGTGTATGTATGTGATTGCATTTGTCCCTGCATGTGGGCCCCTACGTGCTAAACCATATACTCTCTTCATCCCTTAAAACTTTTTTTTGAACGAAAGTGGCTTAAATTATGATAACAGAATGTAAGCAGATTACAAAATGATAACAAGCTTTCTGTCTATCGTCTGCCCTAGAACCAGACTTAGAATCAATCACCTCCGTAGAAGCAATTTGATTCGTTGATCCCGTTATGGGCTTAACTGAGCCAATGACAGGCAAACCAGACTCCTCATCACACTTTCTAGGTTCTAGAGTTTGTTTGCCCGAAAACATGGTACAACCAAAACAAAGTAAAGATCCAAATAGAAACGAAACATGAAGAAAACTAAATAAGCAAATTCTTGAACCCTGGCACCTAGTTCAGCCCTTGGCGGTGGTTCAGGAGGAGGTCGGACCATCGCTATGATTGTTGACGCACCAAAGCGGTTTTCCACCGACTCGACTGCCTCTTCTTCATGATCATCGATCACCGGTTTGTCCGGTGCTCCACCGATGTCTAGGCCAACATACTTCTCGATCAGTTTATCCACCGAGCCCTTCTCCTATCTGGGCGCCTCTCCTCCTTCCTTCTGCGGCTCCCACGGAGTTTTCTCCATTGGCCACCACAGTGAGATATCGATACAAGTCTATTGCTTGCGAGTGATTTCCTTTCTCTGCTAAACAACGGTCGCCGCACCAAAGACAGAAAAACTCGAAACCCTTATTCAAATGAGATGTCCGCTTTGGGTGGATCTATCTGTCAAAGACTTTTTGTGTGCACTCAGCCACTCAATTCATCCCTTAAAACTTTGTCAACTTTCATTTTGTGTTATCCCACTAACTTTGCAACTTCCCCTTGTAAGTACAGAATTTGAGGTTCCAGTTATTTCCCTCTTCCTTGCGCAAACCTCAACCACACAGTTTTACTTTATCAATCTCCGTGCCGGTCAAACTTGGTCTCGTTTTAAGGGACGAAGAAAGTACAAAATTTATGGCCTATGTAGCCGAGTTTTTCTTCAAAATAATGTCAAATAAAAAGGTATTTACGAAATTAGAGTCAATTAAAAAGTTACTACACGAGTTTGGAGTAAACTCTAAAATGATTATGAATTTCCGTTTAATCTGTACCTACTCTTTAATACATAGTACATAACAAATGAAGTTTGAAAACGGGTTTTAAATCTCAAAATGATCTTTCCAATGAGATATATAACGTCTGAAGTGGAAGAACATATAGCAAGATATGATCAAATCAAATACTCAATCAGTTTTCTGTAATGTAGCATTTTCAGAGTAAAAAGAGCATATTTAGCGTAAGTAGGGTCTCCGACTCGAAATTATGTGCAGAAGGTACTAATGTCGTAATATTTTGAAAACGAAGCCTGAATATGAATTATAAAACTCCAAAAGATCTTTTTAACGAGATGTGAACACCTCAAACGCAAAACAACATAGAGATGTGACCATGTCAATGCTACACCTGTTCATCATCAACGCGACCACTTTTTCTAAATTTCTGAATAGTACGTACTTATCCACTAATATTTTTAAACCAAATCTAAATTAGAGTCTTATAACTCAATTTCAAAAATGCTGTTGGAATGAACCCTAGCTAAAAATATGGTGAGAACTATTAGTTACTACAATGATATGTCATATCAATTTAAGTATAAAAAATGAACATAAGTTACTATAATTTCATTACTACTACAGTCACTGGTTACATTTTATAAAGAAGCTATATTTTAGTCATAAATACTCCCTCCATCCCATTGGACTTTGTCAACTTTTCCTTTTTGGTTGTCCCAAAAAACTTTGTCACTTTTCTATTAAAGCAACTAATTTGTGGTGCTGCACATTTCTCTCTCTTCTACACAAATTTCAACCACACAATTTTTACTATTCTTATTTCTCACCTATTTTGCACTTGGCAAAGTCCACCGGGATGGAGGTAGTATGTAATTATTTCGAACTTACATTATCTAATAAAAAATGGAGTATCATACTTATCATTCATTTGATTGGTTCAAATCATTATATAACTTTTAATTTTTATTTAAATGATTCTATTGTAACGTTTTTATTGATTTATGTGGACTAATGTATAATACCTTATGAGTAGTTGAGTACCATAGAATTTATCTAAAAAATAATATTTTCCAATTCAATTGGCAACTTTCTTGAGTTTCTTCTAGAATAGGAAGTGACATTTCACGTTTGATGGGACCCCAATTCATAAAATCTCTTTTTTTTTTATAAATTGCTTCAACTTTCTCATTTGTAATCCGAGTTTGATAGAAATATCAAAATTAATAATTTTTTAATATGTTTTATATGACATCAATATTATATATATATATATATATATATATATATATATATATATATATATATATATATATATATATATAAAAGAAATTTAAGGATACAATAGAAGAGGTTCTTAAGCTTAATATTTTAAGTAGATCCAAATACTAAAATTAAGATTTCACGATTGTACAACACAATTTCATATTGTAAGTAGGTGACATTTTATTCATTGGCTGAAAGTAACAATTAGGGGACGTTAAGCTTTAAATAATTTTATTTATAAACAACTCAAATAGTATCAACAAAACAAATAAAGTCACGCGCATTCTCTATTGGCACTTTCAACCAATTAATAAAATGTCCCCTAATTGGACCATGAAATTGCACTATACAACATTGAGGTCTTAATTTTAGAGGGTGTTTGGAGGAGTCAAAATAGGCTGATCAGGCTGTAAATCCGTAAAAATAGCCAAACACTACCTCATGTGGCTGCTTTGGCTGTTTTCTATTATCAGCCAATAAAGTAACTTGGGAGTTACTTTTTGAGCTTATTTTTATTTTTGTACTATTAGATGTTAAAGAGACAACTCTATCCTTATCTACTGCATCCGGAATTTTTTCCTCGGCTCCATATTCGATCTTGATGTCAAGCTCTCTTCATCTCTTCTTCATTTTTGCTATTTTTTTCTCTCTATCCTGCAACTAGTTTGGTAAGCAGAGCATATGTCTTGTATTAGTATTTGGTTTGTATCTTTGATTTTAAAAATAAAATTGGTAACGATTGTTAAGCCCTTAATTACCCCTCCAGTTTGGTTGTGGCTTTCTGGGTTATGAATAGATTTTTTTTTATTATTTATTCCTTACCCAAGTGTTCTTTCTGTTCTTTGTGGACTACACCAGGGTGATTTTTCCTTTATGGTTTTTCTAATACCCTTATAGTAATTACACATTCAATCACTCAATTCAGCTAATATTTTACCAAACACTTTCATTTCAAAATTTCAGTCTTTTCAGCCTTTTCAGCCATTGCAGCCATTACCAAACAGGCCCTTAGAATTTGATACATTTAAGAAAACTTTTGAGGCTAAAAGCCTAAAACCGTAAAAACCCTCCCTTAGTTGTATCTTCATATATCTTCATAAGATGAGTTCTTGCTAGAACTCTTCTATATATATATATGTATATATATATAAACACACACATGCACGCACGTGTGCGCGCACATACACACATGGGAGAGTTCAAATAAAAAGTAGTCTTCCCGTGCAAAGTGCTAAATTTGCACTTTTTCATATTTCGCTTACACTTTTGCTTATTTGCGTTAACACTCTTTAGTGGAGAATGGGGGTGCGGGGTTTGGGGGGTGGGGGTTTTGGAGGGGGGGGGGGGGAGGGGGTTCGAATTAATTCTAAAAGACTAAATAAAAATAAAAATAAAAATTGCACGACTTGGCCCGGTCCCGATTCTAACCCGGGCCCAATCCACTCCTAGGTTGATCTCATCACACCTTTTTTACAACTTACAAAGTTACAAGTAGTTTTTTTTTTGCAAAACTAGTTTGAAAACCTACAAAATACTATCGGTATAAATTATAAATAAATTATAAATAATAGACACGGACCAGGTTCGGGCCACCCGGCCCGGGAACCGGCCCACTACTGTGCGAGACCAGCCCGGCCCGGTGCCTCAGGTCCGAAACCAGTCCTTGGCCCGATTTGAAAGATAAAGCAGGGCGGGCTCGGGCTGCTGAAATGGGGACCCGGCCCGGCCGGGACCAGACCTGGTTCGGGCCCAAAAATGTTTTTTTTTTTCAGTTTTATTGGGCTTCCCGGGTTGGGCTTGATGTTTTGGACTTTGGGGGGGGGGGTGTGGGGGGGTCAGGGGGTAGTTAGGAAAGAAAAAAAAATATTACAACCAGGCCCGAGGCCCGGACTGAGGCCCGAACCGGACCCGGTGGAACCCCGGGCCGGTCCCGGGCCTTCCCCTAAACACAAAAGGCCCAACCGGGCCTGGGCCTAGGCCCGGACCCGGTTTGGTCCATGCCTAAATAATACTCGTACTCCGTAAGAATCATAAGAGAGGATGTTCTCCCCACTAGAAACACAAGAAAAACATATACCGACAACATTAACAAAGGAAATACATCAAAAGAAGAGAAAGGCAACCAAAAAAGGCATAGCATCCAACCATCCATCAACACCTAAAGAAGATAAACGACATATACAAGCTGCTGTTGTGAAAATCTTCCAAATGTCAAGATTCAAGTTTCAATGAAACAACTCTTGACTGCCTGTTGCGCTTGGCCGCCTTGACAAAGACTACAGAAAGGCATGATGGAGCCCACCACGGACCATGTACTTTCTGTTCACCCTTTAAGCAAGCCACTGACAAACAAAAAAGCCTTTAATTTAGCATCGTGAAAGAAGCATGCCAGAATGGGAGGGGTGGGGTGGGGGATACATAACAGCATTCTTTTATGAAAGAACAACAGGCTAATATTTAACTTGTGTTTGTTTTGCTTGGGTTAGAATCACCGTAGTTGGGAGCCTTTGCAGCATTGGGGTGATTGATGATGATGAGGGTAGAATCAATGTGGCAAATAGCCACAACAGGGCTTATATCAAACTGGGGTGGGTGGGTTAGGCAATGCCTCTAAAATGGCTGAAACTGGGTCGCACTCAAGGTGACTTGAGAGGGAAATTATAGCTACCAAACAGCCATGAAAATGGCTCATGTCAGGACATAAGTCGAACCGTGACGGGGTTATGAGTTTGGCTACGCCTACAGGATGTAGTCCAAGAGACACAAAGCCCAGTCAAGCTGTATGGGCACTAAAGCAGTACAGCTAGGTTACGAGCATCAATTTTATAGGCTGATTGCCAGGCTGCCACAACTACAAGCACTGTTGAACCAGCTGGTCAGGTGACAAAGGGTCTGAACATCCAACCATGGCGGACCATAAGGTATTTGCGATCAGAGGATGAGATCTAAGTGGAATTAGGTATAGCCAGCCTTATAGAGAACCAAACAGATGCCTAAAAAGTAAAAAGTAATTGATCAAGGCTAGCTAGGCAAGGGCACCAACAGTGTTTATAATGTTTGACTACACTAACAAGGGGTTTGTGACAAGTAAAATTGTGACAGTAACAAAAATATGTAGAGTGTAGACCATAATAATGGAACCCTATAGTTATTGAAACTCTAAGCAGGCAGGGCAGGACTTCAATAAAATATTGTCTTTGACCACCATATCATGAAACTAGCTGATGATTTCTTAAGTTTTGCACAAGCAGCAATGCAACAATAGGAATTGTAAAGGGAGAGAAAGAGACCTTTAATTCTCCTAAGCTCCTTACATAATGTTATAAAATCTCCCCATTTCATGTGGCATCTTCTTATAAACCGTAGGATCTGTTCAGTGGAGAACATTGACAACCCTTCCAGAAACTCCCCATTAACACCATTTTCTTTGAAACTTTGCCTATAGTTACCGAGATTAATTTCTTCCAACCACAAACCAACATCCTGGAAACAAGAACAAGAAAAATACATATTAAATTCAAGTTGCTTTACAAAATATCCTTCAATGTAATTAATAGTACCCAGCCATAATAAACAACAACATCATCCAAGCCTTACTCCCAAAAGACTTTGGGGTCGACTAACATGAATCAATTCATGATATCAGAGCCAAAAAGAAAAGAAAGATAAGAAGAATAAAAAGATAAAAAGATAAAGAGCATAAGAAAGATAAAAGATAAAAATAACATAATAACATAGAAAAATAAAGAACATAAAAGATAAAAGAAAAAAAGAGAGAGAAGAGAAAAAAGAGATCAATCTTCCACATGAATATACGCCCTCCACTACTCAGCCATAATCAGTCTCTTTTTTCTTCCTCTTTTTATCTATCCCATTAAAATTGGTCAATAGGATAACAACCCTAAAGTTATGGGTGTAGTTTATGTTCCTTCATCAACTAACAATTCAGAACACTCAGCTGTTTTTGGTCAAACTGAAATACCCATACTGAAGATTGGTGAAAACAGACAAACCCCTCTACATCCAGTTTAAAAAGAGATAAATCAAACAGTGTGCCTTTGAAGATTGTACAAGGGCATGCACCTTTAGAAGATTCTATAGGGCCATTCACTGATTCACTTCTAAAAGAGTCACCAACTTACCAAACAATAAAAAACATATTTCTTGCAAGAAATATGCATGGGAGCAAATGAACTCTCTCTACATCCAGTTTAAAGAGAACTAAAAAAAACTGTGTGCTTTTGAAAATTGAACAAGGTCATACACCTTTAGATGATTATATACAGTCATTAACTTCTAAAAGAGTCACCAAAATGCCATACAATAAAAAACTGATTTCTTGCAAGAAATATGCATGGGACTCTGCAAATGAACATCACCTCTAGTTCATTTTTGGAAATTAAAATACCATCAAATTAGATCTTAAATCAGCGACTTTCGTAGTACATTGGACCATATCCTAAACAGTAACAAGATTATAACAATATATAAGTTAGCAGAAGTTCTCAAGACGTTTCTTAAAAGGTAGCACCGTAGCATAGCCAATGCTAAAGCAGGCTTGAGGCTTTTATTTATTTACTAACCTCACATGAAAAAAGGCTCATACTTAAATAAAAAATAAACAATCATCATTGCCCCAGTGTCGCAAAGAGAAACTGTTTGCGTTCGGATGTACGCGGTCTTACACTCTTACTCTTACCCATGTGCTGAAGCATAGAGAGACTGTTTCCGAATGACCCGTAACAAATAAAAATAATATAAAAAATAACCCATACTTGTAAAATTTCATAGAATTCATTTAACCAGGTGCAATCTTAGAAATAAAATCCTCAATTATCATCTTTAAAAAAACAGAACTATAATTGCATGACAAAGTTATAAACTTCATGAAAATAATCACATATATAGCTCATTAGCTCAATGACTAATAAAGTTAGGCTAGCATTCAAAATCATCCTCTTTGAAGAAAACATATTCTAGTCACTTCTTTAACTTCTTCCTTAGCAAAACAATGCAAAGAAAAACACTCTCGTATACCACTATTACTATATCTATGAACACCATGAGTACATTCTAAACTTCGTACCGAAAGGCCAGGGCTTTCAGACACGGCTCATTGCTCAATAACCTAGAAAAAATAGACTTCATACACTCAACATCTCCAAAACATATAAAGAAAGCCCCAGAACAGATTAATAGACAGTTAAGGATCAGCTCAAAATTGTTGCAGTTTGGAGCGTCAATATAGGCTGGAATAGCTGAGAATATTTGTGATCAGTACTCAAGCTTAGCAGGTTGATTCAGAACTAGCGGAAACTGAGATCTAAATGAAGTACTACCTATAGAATGTGCAAATTAGTACCTCAACTGTCCAAATAAAGAAATTAAGTGGCTCAGGCGGTGTCTCTCTGCTCATCCCTGAAAATTCATCGACCGTCGGAAAAAGAAATTGGTAAAAGATGAAAATCATGATAACAGATCGTAGATATTCATAAAATGAAATATGCAATCACCAACCTCTAATTCTCCGAAACTTTTTATGGTTAGCAACGGGGTTTTCAATAACCAGGCAAATGATATGAAGGAAAAGGTTATTCGGGAAATAAGGGAAGGATGTACTCGGTGCTTTTCTTTCCTATCAACACCGTATTCTGCGTAGTCGGTAAATCCGGTAGTGGCTCGCAGTCAGCCATGTTTGGAACACCCACGCCCATTTTGGGGAAAATGAAAATTAATAATTAAAATTCAATCTTTGTATCATCTTCATTTGTTAATCTCTGACTGGTTGATGATATGTTATTTTAGGTTTTTTCATTTTGTTTGAAAATCATTCAACTATAAATCTCCTTTCTACAAATCTTCTTGAAACGGTCGCACATATGATTTTTATTTTTTCTTCATAAAAATTTTCTTTCTTTCTTATGTAATACTATTGGTTGTAGTCTCTTTTTATAATTTTTGTTTCCAAACTACTTGTTTATATTTTTTTAGAATTTTTTATGAAGGAGAAAAATATATGGGACATTCCTCAAATTGTATTTAATGAAACTTTAATAGTAAGAATATGAGTATAATTGCAAAATTTCATAAATAGGATTAGCTTTCCAATTCATAATTACAATTCACCTTATAATTCACATTATCTTTAACAATAGTCTTTAACAATTCACCTTATCTTTTCTTAAAAATATATTAGTGGTGGAATAAAGTTAAGAAAAGGAAAAATGAAATAAATAAGTGTAAGTAAAGAAAGTAAAGGAAAAAGTTAATACAGTGAGAAAAAATCTTTTATAAGGAAACTAATCTGAAAAAAATATAAAAATAAAAATGAAATAATAAATGGGAAGAAGAAAAAGAAGGAAAAATGGAATACATAAACACTGAAAAAAATTGAAAAGAAATAAAAATAAGAAGAAGAAGAAGACAAAAAGGGGAGTAAAAGAGTTAAGACGATAAAAATATTAAAGGAAAAGTTTTAGGGAGAAAAAAGAAAAATGATATGTGGGGCAGCTTGGAGAAGGTTTGTGAAAAGTGGGATTGATGATTGAATGAATTGCAAAGAAAATGAAAAAACCTACATTAGCAGGTTATCAATTAGTCAGGGACCAACGAATGAAAATGAAGTGCAAAGGTTGGATTATTCCTGAATTACGATCATGTGAATTGTTAAAGACCGCTAAAAGGTTGGATTATTAGTTTCCATTTTCCCTATTTCATATGTGCGGATTACATTTATACATTTATTTGAGTTATATTTGATAATACATGAAGTTACATCTACTTATGCGCGAGTTACATCTTTTTATGCACGAGATACATCTAATTATGCACGAGTTACATCTAATTATTTTTTATTTTTTACTTACTTTTATCTTTAACTAATTAAATTACAACTGACTTAACGTATTTCTTTACCAATTTATTACAAAATTTTATTAACCCACATAAAATAAGTAAATTGTTTTTCATTTTTTAATCCCTAAATACAATACTTGTTGTTGTTCCCATCTAGGCATTTAGGTGTGTTTTTTAGTTTTTTCATCAACACTTGTTCAACGAAATCTCATATGGCTAGTTTTTATTGTTGTTGTGTGTAATCTCTTTTTTTTAGGGGAAAAGAAGATTTTATTCATATAAATAAAAAGTACAATGCAACAAGAAAAGTAAAAGTAAAAAAGTACATTGATCAAAAGAAAGAGTAAAAAACCATAAAACTAGACTCAGGGAAATCTCTGGACTGCGATCTAGTTCTCTTGTTGTGCCTTCTTTTATTTTTCTGAGATTTCCTGTTAAGTTTGAGTTGCGTATTCAGATTGTCTGTTGGCAGACAATTTTCGTAAGTGACGAACTTTGATCTATGGCAAATTGATTTGTTGAATTTGGAGTTTCCAATTTCTTCTTGTTTTGATATAGGATGATGACGATCACTTTCGATTGTATGTCCTAGAAAATCATCTGAGAAGAAAGAGTCATCGGAGTAGTGATCAAAGTTGTCCGAGGCATCAGAGTAAGCCTGAATAATTGGAATTTGAAGAGAAAGGATTGAGGTTTGGAGCGAGGTTCAATAGACACAAACGCTCAGCAACACATCGAGTTGGTAACCAGATTCTCAGATCTATTTGGGAGCCGCCTTTTTGTGACAATTACAATCAGAAGCGATTCGGGTTGGAATCTAACTTATACATTATTTTACAGTCCTACTATAATACATTATTCCTAGACATATATGACAATCAAATGATCAATATCCACATTCTATAAGTTTGTGAGGTGTACTCTTCTAATTGAAATCTGGTAATCTAAAACTCATATAGAACTAAATAAATGAAGTGTATTTTAAGAAAGATTATCTGGTTTTATAGTTTTAGTGCATGTGTTTAACATACTAGCTATGAGTGGATCACCCCTCTTTCTACAGTTAAAAAATCTTAAATGTATACATAAATTTAAGGCTTAAATATGGTTTTAATCCCTGCAAACATGACACACTTTGTTTTAGGTCCCTGCAAAATATTTTTGTTTTGTTTTTAATCCTTGTGAAATGCTCTATTTTGTTTTTAGTCCATCTCCTACCCCGAAATCACTCAATTTGGGAAAAATGTTATTACCGATGGCATAAATCTACTAAAAAAAATTAAATTTATCCTTTGATAATTTTTTTGAGACTAATATGAGAGTTAAAGTAATGTAAAATTAATTATTCACATGTTTCAAATATGTATTAAAAACCTTCTAAATGTTAAAATTAAATATTTTTTGAATAATATGACAAAGAATTAGATGAAGTCTTTTAGTCGGAGTAGTTTTTTGTCAAATGAAACTTGTTATCATCGGTGATGGACTAAAAAGAAAACCACCATAAATTCCATGGATGAAAAACAAAAAAAAATTGCAGGGATCTAAATCAAAATGTGCTATATTTGCAGGGATTTAAAACATACTCCCTCCGTCCCACTATGATTGTCCCATTTTACCTTTTCGATCCGTCCCACCAAGATTGTCACATACCTTATTTGGTAAAATTTGTGTGGTTCTAAATCATTCTTACTTTATTCTTACTTTATCAATTTAATATCAACCACATAAAACCACTTTTATTAATAATCATGCCACTTTCTCTTGTCCCAAACTTAGGGGGACGGAGGTAGTATTTATACACAAATTTAAAATGTTGATCTTATTTCTCTCAACATCAAAGTCAAGTTTCTAATTATCAACTTTTAATCTTATTTTTCTTAATAACAAAGTCAAGTTTCCAATTATCAACTTTCAAAACAACTTTTTTATCCAACATTAAAGAAGTGGATATTAAATTCAAATACCAGATTCAAAACAACTGTTCATTGCATTTATCATTGTTAACAATCCATGAGAAATCTGGAGGGGTTTAAATTAAATTTTAGTTCTACGCTATAATTTTAGACCGATACTCTCTAGTTTCCAGACTATATGCTAGGTCCCCTAGATTTTGATGATTAAAATGTAATAGTTTTGATGATGTCACCCCTTTTTATTATTCATGTATTAGGCTAGTCTCATGTTTATGTTCTACTTTGTTTATTGTAATATGCTCCAATATTAGTGGTAAAATCCACATAAAAAGCAAAGAGTACTAAAAAGAGAAGAAACATAACATAAAATGAAAAGAAAAGAATAAAAAAGAAAAGGTACGCAAAAGAGTTAACTGGTATTCATTGAAGGGAGCTAACTGGAAAAACACAAATTTCAGCAGCCAGCTGAAAACTTGGCAGCCAGCTGAAATCTTGTTTTCCAGTTAACCCATCCGAAATCAACTCACTCTTCTCTTAGCACAAAAACAATTAAACAAAACACCAACTTGCAGTCAAAATAACAATTTGATGAAAAGTAAATTTATAAGAGATTTCTAACACATTATAAATTTCTTCTAAATGTATTTTACTTAAAGCAAGTAATTGTTATTAGGAAGGTAACATTGAAACATCACTCAGCTTTATACTAAGTTTCTACGCGTAAAGAAAATAAAGATAATTCATCTTTATCTTTGCATTGAAAGGAGGAAACAAATTGAGTGAAGATTTTTTATCCGTGTCACTACAAGACAAAGACCAACCATGCTGCCTCAGTCAAGTGGAACAAAGCAAGTAGATCAAGTTACGGTCAAGATTGATTTCCTTAGTCAACGGTGGAGATTCAAAGATCAAGTCTATAAATACAGAAGGAGTGTGCGTGGGAAGACCAAGTGTGGTAAACCGAGAGGAGCCAAGTGGAATAGAAGTGAATCAAACTATCCATGCTCATATCTAGCCAGTTGATTTCCCTTCACCATTTCGGCTACCACCCCACTCATCTAATGCTCTTAGATTAGCTATAATTCATACAAACCTATAGAGCTTAGATTAGTTGGTAGTTTATATATACAACCATGTAATCAAGACTAGTGTTAGACATTCTGGAGAGCTTTGTGTTCAAATCCAGAAGGTGAGAATGTCAAGGACATGATCGAGTAGCTCTTGGCAAGTCAATGCCATTAGTGAAAAACCTTGGGAGGACTGGGTAGCTTAGAATGGTGTTTAAATTCCTTGTGAAAAACCTCACAATCTACGCCTGTGCCAAGGGTAGATTGGGGCACTAAATGTAATGAGATATTCATTTAGTGGAAATCCATCTGAAATAGGTTGAGACTGGATGTAGGAGGATTACACCACCTCTAAACCATGATATATCTTGTGTCATCTTTTACATTCTGCTCCTAACATAAATTCAGTTCTCACTCACCTTCACAACTTCACAGTAAAACAGTTTGCTCACTAAAACTGTCGAGTGAACCTTCCAGTTCACTGTGAGTCAACTCCTTATTTTATGATCATCAAAGTGATCTATTTTTATAGGTCTAAATCCTTCATACTTATGTGTTAAGACTAGTTCTAAAGCCTATCAATATGTTAGAGTATAGCTCATTGCTATACCTTAACTAATTGAAGCAGAACCTTAATTTCGGCAGCCAGCTCCTAAAGGTTTTGGCAGTCAGCTCCAAATTGTCTGGCAGCCAGCTCCTTCAGATTTCAGCAGCCCGCTCCTTGAGTCATCTGTTTCTGGCAAACACATTTGTAACATGTTTTAGCCATCTCTTCACAACTAAAAGGGTCATAACCTTTGTTTATATAAAGTGTCACACTCTTGAGGTAAAGACTTGCGCTGTATGTT